TCAACTATTGCACTAGAGTTCCAATATTGACTGAGACTATTATTTTTTACCAATGATTTAGCTTCGGAATCCATACACATATCAATGAGTTCATCTTGTAACTAAGGATTAGTCAAACTCCGTTAGGTACGTATATTTTATATAGGTCCTCAAAAGATACACTAAAATCACCCCCTAATTTTTCCGGGTACTTCATAATGCTACTGAATGAGTTATATATAAATCAGAAATGCGTGTCAACAAATTTTATTTTACTGTATTTAAAAAAAAATAGTTTAATCTGTCCCCAGACATTTTACGAACACATTTGACGTCCAGATATTTAATGACCCATTTTTGACCATCGAGGCGTTTATCGACCTGCTCGATGGGAACTTTCGAGACCCAGAATTTGATAACGATGACTTTGGGAACAGTTATTCTTCTAAGTTCAAACATAAGTGGTCGTTTTCTTATACGATATAACAAATAAATAGTTTTTACTGTAAATATTTTATTGTGAATTCTCAAGAACAAAAATCAAAAAAGGATAAATTTACTTCCATCATGTTTAAATTTTACTAGAATTCTAATCATCGCTTTTTAAAACAATAACATTGCCGGAAGGTGGTGGCATTTAATAATCGGTGTCATGGGAAAAACCTTCCATTTGATACGCTGTTTTTTCAGGCTCGATGATCCTTGTTTGCTAACGTTTCTTTACATATTTTTACGTTTTATATCAACCATATATATATATATATATATATATATATATATATATATATATATATATATATATATATGACCAGTTGACCCAAGCCTTGTGAGTGAAATTGGGTAGACAGAACACTCGGGGGGGTGCTTTCGATAGCTCACAAGTCATCGTGACCGAGAGTTTTAGTGTGTTGGCTTTGATAAGATTGTTGATCACGCTAGATAACACGCTATCTCCCAGAAACTGTAACTACGGTCTGCTCAGCATAGTTGCAGTACAAACCACAGGTGGGCTCTGTGCGCGTTGCACAAACACAAATGTGCTTGAGCGAGCGTCTGCAATAGGGATTCGCTAGTCGCCCTAATAAACGGGCATCCTCAAATACGAGTGGCCAGCTACTATCTATCTATCTATCTATCTCTGTCTGTCTGTCTGTCTCTCTCTCTCTCTCTATATATATATATATATATATATAAAGAGAGAGAGAGAAAGAGAGAGAGAGAGAGAGAGTGAGAGAAAGAGAGAATGAAGGTAGAATTACGGAAGTTGGTTCGTTGGATGTAGTTGCAAATGTAAATGGGTGCACGCACGTGTATACCTGCGTCAAACTGAAAACGAGGGGGGAAAAACAGTATCAGTTATTACACAGCTGTCTCCTATACAAAACTCGTCTTACCCCCACTATTTCTCATGTCGTCCCTCCCTTCCAGCCTTCCCATGACACCCAGCTTCTCAAATTTCCTTTGTCGAATTCTAGCCCGGTGGGAGAAATCAAACAATGGCCTCTTAAAAGGCAGTTTTTTTTTTTATTGTTTCTTTTTGTTTTTTTACTGGCTATAAACTGCTCTGCGACAATTTCTTGCGTTACAAAGACGGCAGCAACATAGCTACATGTTATTTCATGTTTCGTGAGGGTGAATTAGTTAAGTGTACTTCTTCTACGCACCGTGTCCTTTCAGGGCGTTGGCGATCAGGGCTCTCCACAATTTCCTGTTCTTTGAAGTCCTTAATAAATTGTTTTTGTTATCTCTGCTAAACGCTGTTCTGCCATCCATGGCTAGGTAGGTTATGCGTTGTTTCCTCTCTGTCTTTCTTGTCTTCAATCTGTCCTGCGTGTATCACATTTTCCAAGCCCTCATCATGTTAAGTGATTTAGTTATGTGCCATGCGTGATACATGACTGACGAGGCAGATGTTTTCCGCAGTAGGCTGCCATTTCTTTCTGCGGTAGACCAGTTGCCATCCAACGCTAGTAGTACCCGGTCTGTCCTGCTATTTATCCATAGCTGGGTGGAAAAGAAGAGGATTCATACCTTTCCCAAGTATATGAGCACTAATGTAATGGATTCGCCTGGATATTCGAACTCGGCTCGCGATTCCTCAATCCGAGCTGCTATCCATTACTGCACCGTCTAAGTGTCTTTTTTTCTTTCCACTTCCTCTAAAACTTTTGGTGTTCAATTACAAGATTCGTTTGGAAATTATAGTCCCAAACTATCTTTTATTGACTCTGCGTTCTGTTACTTTCGACCGTATGTTCCCATACCATTTATTGGACATTGTGTAGCCATTTTCTTTTACACAACAGCCAGTGCAAGTTAAGACAAACACTGTCATCTTCTGTACACACACACACACACACACACACACACACACACACACACACACACACACACACACACTCTCTCTCTCTCTCTCTCTCTCTATATATATATATATATATATATATATATAGAGAGAGATAGATAGATAGATAGATAGATAGATAGATAGATAGATAGATAGATAGTAGCTGGCCACTCATATTTGAGGATGCCTGTCTATTAGGGCGGCTAGCGAATCCCTATTGCAGACGCTCGCTCAGTCATATTTGTGTTTGTGCAACGCGCACAGAGCCCAGCTGTGGTTCGTACTGCAACTATGCTGAGCAGACCTTAGTTACAGTTTCTGGGAGATAGCGTGTTATCTAGCGTTATCAACAATCTTATCAAATCCAACACACTAAAACCCTCGGTCACGATGACTTGTGAGCTATCAAAGCCCCCCCCAGTGTTCCGTCTACCCAATTTCACTCACAAGGCTTGGGTCAACTAGTCATATATATATATAGTTGATATAAAACGTAAAAATATGTAAAGAAACGTTAGCAAACAAGGATCATCGAGCCTGAAAAAAACAGCGTATCAAATGGAAGGTTTTTCCCATCTCTCTCTCTCTCTCTCTCTCTCTCTCTCTCTCTGCCAACATTTTACAGCCAACGACTATATGTGTGACATTCTCTTGTTTCTCTACAACACTGGTTCTTAACCTTTCACTATAAGTCAAAATGTCATTCCCTCCAACTTTCCAAGATTGTCCGAATCAAAAGGTGCATTCCAAATAATATTTAAACTTATATTATTAAATAGCAGTATAACCCGTCTTTGACCGGGTCTTTCATTACTGGGAAATTCTGCCGTTCAATTGGCGCAGTTTAACCAACCTGAAAATCAATATTAGTAACAACAATTGGGTACAACTGAAGCACATCCCAAAAAGGAGAGGGGGGGTAACAATTTGAAGGGGAGGCTTGAAAAGGGAACTGTATTATAATAAAATAATATTATTGTAATAATTTAAATTATTTATTTTTTTTATTAAAGTTTTTATGAAAGATATCTATCCAAGAACACATAGTAAATAGTAAAATGTTGCTGAGAGAGATATAATGGACAGGATGTAGTGGAGAGCCATTGTTGCCAACAATTTGAACTCAAAAGCGGCACTGAGGAATTATCTATCAAACAAAAAAAAATCATCGAAATCGGATGAAAATTGTGCAAATCTATAAACAACATCCGCTTACACACACATACATACATACACATTTTGAGAATTATATATATATATATATATATATATATATATATATATATATATATAAATGAATATAACAGCCAATGAATGTCTATTATGTCTGATCATGAGCCGTTCTAATGTTCGAATGTTTGCTTTAATTTCGGATGAAAATAAAGATAAAAATTGTCCAATATTTGGATATTTTTTTATTAATTTGGTTCTAAGGTTTCGACTCACATGAGCCATCCTCAGATTGGTTATACAGACATGAAACGAAGATATCCACCATGAAAGCTGATATTTTGCTATTTTGACATAAACTAAATCCAAATAATATATTATTCAAAATGTTCATTCTTTTCAATATGAGTATACTATCTATCTATATTTACGTGGATTATTTTTATAGGAGTTTTACAAATTTAATAGCAATAGAAAATGTGGATGGATTTTTTTTTTTAGCTTGAATATATGTACAGTAATTTGTTTTAACTCATAACTAATTATTAAATAAACTTAAACATGGAAAAAGTTCAATAGAATGCCAGGGTATTGTAATTCAGAAAACAAAATTCTGTAAATAAAAAAAAAAAACAAGAAAATGTAAAACATGAATTCAGTCTATAATGTTCAAAGAAGAATGGTCTTTGCGAAAAAACCTTCACTCGCTCAAACCATTTTTAACCATTGATCTTAGAAAGCGGTTGTATACAGCTGAGAGTTTAGATATGTTTTCGCGCCATGTATGACATCTGTCTGAAAGTCTCCTTCTGAAAAGGCTGTTTAATCCTGCGTTAGCCATGTTGAATTTCTGAAAATGGATGATCCCTTGACATCTGACGACAACCGAGTTACAACTGCGCCACAGCGCGTGCTACACACCATCACTGAGTCAGGAGAGCAATAAGAAAAAGCAAAAGAAACAAGTTGCCAACTAATAATTACGAGCACTTTAAAAGTTTTGGGACAACAAAACATCCCATCAGAATAAAGCAGGGTGAAGAACATGACAAGAGTTTTCAGGTTGATGTTTTAGTTTTGTGGCAACGTGAGGTATTGACGGAGACTCTTCTATGTTCAATTTTCTTTTTCCCTATACCAAATTTGTTATAACTGATCCATCCGTTAGTCCGTGTGTAAATTTCTTATAACTGATCCATACGTGAGTCCGCGTAACTAATTTATACGTGAGTCCGCGTAACTGATCCATACATGAGTCCGCGTGTGAATTTGTTAACGAAGTCACTAAGACGCAAATGGGGTTACAGAGTGTGAGAGAATATGGGAAAAGAAAACACTATTAAGGAGAGAGAACAATAAAAGAACAGGAATTAAGAAGACAGAAGATAAAGATTGGGAATGCATTTAAGTTTTCGAAGATCAAAATTGGCTGGGAAGCAAGAAGACGGAAGAGAGTTCAACAAGTGAAAAGTGCGGGAGAAGAAAATGTTAGCATAGAAATTAGCCATTTCTTTCTTTCTTTCTTTCTTACTTCTAATTTCTTATCCTTTCCTTCTTTCTTTCTTTCTTTCATGATTAAATTTTCTTTCTTTCTTCCTTCTTTCTTTCTTTCTTTCTTTCTTTCTTCCTCCCTTTCTTTCTTTCTTTCTTTCTTTCTTTCTTTCTTTCTTTCTTTCTTTCTTACTGTATATTCCTCTACTTTTAATGTTTATTCTTTTTTCTTTTAACGTCTTTTTTCTTTCTTTGTTCATTTCTTTTTTATTTTCCTTTCTTCCTTTTTCATCGGAAATTTTCTTCCTTTTGTCTCCTTCGTTCTTTCCCATCAACCATTCTTTCTTTCTTTCTTCTTTCTTTCTTTCTTTCTTTCTTGATTAAATTTTCTTTCTTTCTTTCTTTCTTTCTTTCTTTCTTTCTTTCTTTCTTTCTTTCTTTTAATGAAACCAAATAGACGTTAAACGCCTTAGAGTATTATTGCCTTTTCTGCCTTTTCTTCATTTTTCTTTCTTTCATTCATTCATTTTTCACTGAAAACAAGTAGCGTCACTGATATGTCTTTTCCGTCTTTCCACGCGATCAAAACGGAATAGTTCATTATTTATGATGCGCTGGCAGGGCGTAACGGTCGTGCTTAGGGAGGCACACACAGAATTATAATAAGATGGGAAAAATTTTATTAGAAATTATTTCCATCGTATTATTACTTATCTTTTACTTTTATTATAAATATTTCCGCTTACACTTACTTTGTTTATTGATTTGCGTAGGGAAATTAATTTACAATAGATTTACATGGCAAAGTGAACCTTTTTAAAATTTAGGAAATTAAAAAAAAATAATATGTGTGATCTGGAGAGTTTGATAGCAATAAGGAAAAAAACTGAAAAATCTTTTTTAGAGAGATGCGTTTCTGTAAAAAAAGACCCCCCCCCAAAAAAAAACCGCCAACTGCACTTCTACGGTACAGAGAAGCTAACTTAGAGTCCAGACGAAAAAAATACTGTAGGTAGGTGGCTCCTTCTTGTCACACACCTCGTAAAATCGCCAATGCCATTTGGCAAGGGTAAGATGAAGAGGGCATCCCTACAACAGTGTAGAAACAAGAATGTTCGTGAAGAAAGACATTATTGCCCTTAAAAGAAGAAAAAAAAAAAAGAAAAAGAAAATTAACGAGCCTAATTACTGGTTTGATATTTTGGGTCTTGTTATATACTTACACAAGCTTGAAACTCTGCTCACTTGTAAGAAGGAAATTTTTGTCTGGCTTTTCAGATCAATTTCAATTAGCGCCCAACTATTCAAAATCAACGGAGCGACTTAGAATGTCTTTAGAGAAACCAGCCAATCAAATATTACGACTTTCTAAATATATTTCTCTTTCAGAATAAGTTGTAATTCCAGTTATGAATCCTTTACTTATTATTTACCACCAGATTATTTACCACCGGAATATTCAAAGTCTTTATTCTAATCATATATATATATATATATATATATATATATATATATATATATATATATATATATATATATATATATATATATATATATATATATATATTATATATATGTATATATATATATATATATATATATATATATATATATATATATATATATGTATATATATGTATATATATATATATATATATATAATATATATATATATATATATATATATATATATATATATATATATATATATATATATATATATATATATATATATATATGTATATATATATATATATATATATATATATATATATATATATATATATATATATATATATATATATATATATATGTATATATATATATGTATATATATGTATATATATATATATATATATATATATACATATATATATATATATATATATATATATATATATATATGTATATATATGTATATATATATATATATATATATATATATATATATATGTATATATATATGTATATATATATATGTATGTATATATGTATATATATATATAGATATATATATATATATATATATATATATATATATATGTGTGTGTGTGTGTGTATGTATATATGTATGTAGATATATATATATAATAAATGCTAATGTCAGTCTGTTACTGTGTCATACTTTCTTTTTCAACTTTACTCATACCATTTTTGGGAGCAGGCCGACGCCGTATGCAAATTAAAAACATTTTGGGCCGAATGCGGGACCCACAATCCTGTAATTTTGTATTCCCAAACTTTCATTACCGTGATTATGTTCGGCGATTTCTTTTTTACGTGATTTTTTTTCGACAATTTTTTTTGTACATAACAACTTGAGAATAAATATGGGAATAATTGAATTCAATTGCAAAATCCAGCGAAAAACATCCATGAAATAAAAATAATTATTTGTACGGAAAGTATGGACCTTCGTACATCAAAGTGTCTTTAAATTAAGTGGCGGCAGAAGAATTATTGCTGAACTTTTAAAAAGTAAGCTTAAGTATTAATGCAATACTTAAAGTCAGCGATCTATTAGAGTATTTCGTTGTCCCCTATCGCATCTACTCTTCCCTACCTATTGTGATAAACTTACAATCAATAACTCTTCACAGAAGCTATCTTAAATGCCGCTCGATAGGTCGATTTTAAAAGCTAGTATATATATATATATATATATATATATATATATATATATATATATATATATGTATATATATATATATAGATAGATAGATAGATAGATTGTATGTGAAAAAGTTGAAAAACGAAGAGAGTGAAAAATAAATTTATTTCAGGGGACACTCACAATTTGTAAGAAAAGCTGAATTGGCGAAAGTCAGCGTATTATACACACACACACACAGCCACCCACCCACCAATACCTCCATAATATATATATATATATATATATATATATATATATATATATATATATACAAAAAATAATTTTCTTTCGTTTTTCTCCTTCATTTTCCTAACATTGCTCTATTATATAAACGTTTATGCTATATCCTCTCATATATATGCGTGTGTGTGTGGGTGAGTTCACAAAATTTAATGACATATTATGAAATAACAAATGTAAAATAAGTTTGAATAGACTTAGATAGATATGAATACACTTCAGATAAATAGATATGAACATACTTGGGATAGATAGATAGATAGATAGATAGATAGATAGATAGATAGATAGATAGATAGATAGATAGATAGATCTAGACACACACAAACTCTATAGTGGAGTGTACTAAAAACCTATTCTGGGGTAAGAAAATAAGATTGTCATGATCTTGGACGGAAATGGTTAGTTTTTTTTAATTTAATATATAAATAAAAAGTAGCAATACAGAATATTATCTTAACATTTTAAACATGGTTCAAATAAATTCTTCTGGGCGAGCAAAATGATCAGTGTCTTTCCGCTAAAAATCTGGCTTACTTTGAATTAACAGAAGCTGCCACTGACTGCTGGACGCTATGCGTACTGCATGACTTTACACTTTACCCGAATTTACTCGATATTAGAAGTGTTCAGATAAGCTGTCTAAAGCAGCGTTTCTCAAACATTTGTGCCCGGAAGCAATAATGTGTTCTGAAAGGTGCGCCCCAAGTTAATAGAAGTATACATTATTTTTATATTTTAAAAAAATCTTTATTTTTAAAAGGCTTACGGCCACATCGCTTTGAAACACCTGTCCCCTTACAATCATCGTAATTAACGAAGTCAATATCGAATCAGATCAGTACTTTGTACCGTTTGGGAATATCACGTTCTGTAGGTTTGGATGTGCAGGTGATGGCTCGGAATTGTTAATCAAAGAGCCGTGTTCCAATTCCTCTTTCCACCTGGGAAAGGTATGAATCCACCTCTTCTCTCCCCAGCTATGGATTAATTAGTAAGACTTGTATCAATAAAATCATTATTATTTCCCCACAAAAATTAAATGAAATTATGTACAAATTGGGGAATAAATCACACATAGTCGGTGATATGTCGCTGAAGAAAAGTAATCAGCCAACATTTATTTTTAAAAAGCAAGAGATGTTATTCATCATGACGGTCGTCTTCGAGTATAGAATCCAGAGGTTAGCAGTGAATATTTCGATGACAGTAGGAAAGCGTTGTTCAGGTTAGCAGTGGATATTTCGATAAAAGTAGCAGAGCATAGTTCGTCCTTCTGGTTCTCTTCGCCTGACAAGCTGGACTGGACATTCAGGTAGAGTAAACAAAATGGCCGCCTTTGCCACGACGGATTGAATGTTCTACGTCTTCTGATTGGTTAACCTTCTGTTGGTGGACTATAAAGGGAGTTAAGTCATTTTGACTGGCTCACTAGTTATAGAATATATACAAAAAACTGCAACAAGACATACCGAGCAAATGGCTTCCATGTCTAAGTCAATTGACTTTTCAACTGATGGCGTTGGCTTATCGTTAATAGACGAAGAGGAGCTGGTCTCTATATCTGCTGATCGTGGCTTACAAATCAAATATAAAGAGGTGTCCATTGATCAATTTTGGATTCCCATTCAAGAACAATCCCCTTCAACAACTGGTAAACCATTGAATATTTTATTGCAATTGTTCACATCATACGTCTTTGAGTTAAGATTTTCTATACTTACCAACATTAAATGCAGAAACAGATTAAACATTAAATACATTGAAAATGTTAGTTACACTCTTTACATTGTTCGGAATGCTGTCCTCATCTTTGTCGCCATATTCACGACGTTTCGACCGTTGTACGCCTCGGCCTTCAGGTGATTTGAATTTCGAATTGAACCCTTTATTTCGTCCACCGTTGTAGATTGTTCTAGTTCCACGTTCCATGCCTCTTCCGGATGTCTCAGTATTTTTTTTCTCCCTTTAACCAATGCTTTTTATCCACTGGCAACGAAGATGAGAACAAGAGTCCGAACAATGTAAATAGTGTAAATAATTACAATGCCTCATCTCAGAAATATAGACAGACAATGAGAGTATATTTATCATATATAAGGCTTAATATTTTTTTAAAAAATTGGCAAAACGCAACAAGCACTGGTTTCATACAAGCATAATTAAATATACAATGTAATGTCCTTAAAATAAATGCTTATTTCAGGAGATTTCTTTATTATTTGCCTGTTTCTAAATTAATGACGGTTTTTTTTTTATTAAAATTTAAAGTGCACCTCAGGAGCTTACTTATTCTACAAGTGCGTCCTGAAGTTAAAAAAGAAAAGATTGAGAAACCTGATC